TATATATATATATATATATATATATATATATATTTAAATATACCACCTTCAACACTATTATTATCCATGTATTTTTTTGTAGGAAAATTAATTTTATTTTATTCTACTGAAATTCATTCATTGTATCGTTGAGACTGCTAAGTTTCATTTTGTATTGAAAATCGAAATCGATTCGTTTTCTTCGGTAAAGAGGTTGAAAAAAGAAGAAGAAGAAGAAGAAGCAGAAGAAGAAGAAGAAGAAAAAGAAGAAGAAAAAGAAAAAGAAAAAGAAGAATTAAGTGGGATCAAAAACTAAATGGGATTCGTAACTGGAACGTTGGCAAAAATTAGAATGAAACTTTACCTCGGTTATCCTACTTTTTTCCCTTTTTTTTTTTCTTCTTCTTCTTCTTCTTCTTCATCATCGTCATCCACATCTTTTTCAATTTTATCTTCCTCTTTATCACGAATAAAACGAATCGAGAAGAAATATCGTCGTCGATGTGTGACTTCCCCTTAAAAAAAAAAAAAAAAAAAAAAGAAAAAAAGAAAAGAAAAGGAGGAAAGAAGTTGGGTATTTTTTTAAAAATAAAACTTGAAAACGTCGAGAACGAAATTTTTCGCTTCGTTTGCTAGTTTTAAATTAATTTTCTTTTCTCTCTTACGTTTTTGTACTTTTATTAGATATAATATATATATATAAAAAGGGATGAGAAAGCTAAAAGTGATTCGTAATTGTTAATACTCGAAAATTATTAGTGAATTTATTTTTTTATATTTTATTGACATAAAATACCTTAAGCATTTATTTTTAAATTATTTTATCGATTATTTTATTAATATTTTTATTCAGATATATAGGGGTATAGAATAATTACAAAATAAAAATATACCATGGTGGTGTATTTGTTTTATTTTTGTAATATTTAAATTTAAATTTAATTTTGTAATTATTATTAAAATAATTCCAAGAATTGTGTGTGTGTGTGTTGGTACTCGAAAATTATTAGTGAATTTATTTTTTTATATTTTATTGACCTAAAATACCTTAAGCATTTATTTTTAAATTATTTTATCGATTATTTTATTAATATTTTTATTCAGATGAATAGGGGTATAGAATAATTGCAAAATACAAATATACCATGGTGATGTATTTGTTTTATTTTTGTAATATTTAAATTTTAATATTAATTTTGTAATTATTATTAAAATAATTCCAAGAATTGTGTGTGTGTGTGTTGGTACTCGAAAATTATTAGTGAATTTATTTTTTTATTTTTTA